CAGCTCAACAAACCATATTGCAATATCTACGTTAACGTTATTTCTGGAACCAACTGGAAATGTGAGATTCATATTTTTCAGATACACAGATCTTATAGTGAGGTTAATCTATGGGTTAATCTCATACAGTACTCTGCTCTTCAACACTAATGTAACGCTAGCTGTCTGTATCGTCGAGCATAGCTATTTTAAATTAACAATAACAATGCAGTTACCTAACTAGCAAACTAACTAATGTACAAGCATGACCTTATTTTACCAACCTCACCGAGAAGCCTTATGTTTTACAGTATAATCCTTCTTAATGTTTTACACTTCTCTATTATGTTTTAACTTGTATGCTACGGATAGCATCGTTAGCACAGATGTAGCTTCGTCTCGCTTGTTAGCTGAATAAAAAGACAAGTAAGAAATAAAGTGCTTGAATTTCACTTACCGAATAAACTGCATTCATAGACGGTCTGTTTGAACCGCAGAGCCATAAGATAAGTGCGATATTTCAATGAAGAATACTCCACCAGGCATCAACACAAAAAACACGTCCGAGTAGCAGCCTGGAGCTAATGAAGCTAACGGGGCTAGCAAAGAGACCACGAGCAGATGACTTCCGTTACATTATAATGACTTCCGTTACATTAGAATGACTTCCGTTACATCAAGAATCCCCTCACACACACATAGGTGAAACACATGCACATTCCCTACTGAGAACCTTTCAGTAAAATGCTTTTCAGGAGTGTGTGTGTGAGGTGTTCAGTAGTGAATGTGAGAGGATTTCAGTAGTGTGTGTGTGAGGCTTAATTTTCAGTAGTGTGTGTGTGAGGTGTTCAGTAGTGAATGTGAGGAGGATTTCAGTAGTGTGTGTGCAAGGCCAGATGTTTTCAGTAGTGTGTGTGAGGTGTGTCAGTAGTGAATGTGAGAGGATTTCAGTAGTGTGTGTGCAAGGCCAGATGTTTTCAGTAGTGTGTGTGTGAGGCTTATTTTCAGTAGTGTGTGTGTGAGGTGTTCAGTAGTGAATGTGAGAGGATTTCAATAGTGTGTGTGTGAGGCTTAATTTTCAGTAGTGTGTGTGTGAGGTGTTCAGTAGTGAATGTGAGAGTATTTCAGTAGTGTGTGTGCAAGGCCAGATGTTTTCAGTAGTGTGTGTGTGAGGTGAGTTTGAATTTTGGCCTACACGGCCCCTCATAGTTTAGTTTCCTGCACGCCTCGACGTAAGAGAGACGTAAGCGACGCCACCTCTTAGCTCCGAAGCTCTTGCCTCTAGACCAGTGGTTCTCAAAGTGGGGGGCGCAGAGGCATGCCAGGGGGGGCACGAGAGACCAGGAGGAAAAATGGTTATAAAAAAAATCATAATTTGAAAAATTATTGATTCGAAAATAATATAATGCAGTACAGTACTATTACGTCTGGGTCTCTGTGTTTCATTAAAGCTCGACTGTGTGTGTGTGTGTGAAACGAGCCATTTTGTGTGCACGAGCGAGAGAGAGCGCACCGGTACTGGAGATCGTTGTTGTTAGCTTCTGGTGCTAGCGAGCTACGCTAACGAATATAAGGAGCTTTTTCAACAACAAAGTGGAGGAGAGTCCTCTCCTGTCAGATTGAGAGACTCAGTGAGCTAAAGGACTCTGTCAGTGTTATCTCAGTGGGTCTCAAACGTTTTGGTCACCATTAATGTAAACAATTATTTCCGAGGCACACGTTTATAGGATCATTATAGTTATACAAAAATAAGAGAATAAATGAAAAACAGGTATGAAATACTATATGACAGTAAAAAAAGAATAAAGTTTAAAAGGGTGATTTGTAAAATATCCATAAAGAAAAAGTAAATCTGTTTACAGTTCTGTTTCAAATGGGTGTTCAGTGATTCCCACAGCATGTTAATACTTTGGGGGGCCCCCAAAAGTATAATGGCTCCCCCCAAAGTATAATTTGTGTGTTTTTTGTTTTTTTACTCAGTGAGCACTCCATTTGCATTTGCATTGGTGGCAATGAGTGCTCAGTGAGTAAAACAAACTTAAAAAACCATAAATTATACTTTGGGGGGAGCCACCCATAAATTATACTTTGGGGGGAGCCATTATACTGGTAAACAGCCTCTATGGGGCGCGAGTCCAGACCCACTTTTGGAATCAAATGATGACGTCAGTGGGATTATCTCCTTTATCAACTCCTAAGCATCGCCGGGACAACATCACTAGCCCCGCCCCTAAAGGGTGTGAAACTTGAGCCAATCAAGGACTACTACTACTAGGTCGTCCTTAGACGAGTTTGCCAACGGGTTCGCCAATCCTCACGGTCCTCCATACACCCGGCCAGCTCTGTGGAGCTTTTCCACCCCCCACATCCTTCCTCAGCACCTCCACGTATGTTGGCGTGGGGCGCCCTCTTGGTCGGTGCCCGTGTGTTGGCTCCCACCTGGTAAGATGTGTGTGTGAAAGAAGACCACAAAAAACAGCAGTGACTGCTCTCAGCTGTTTAACACTTAAAGACCTAGACACCATCACCAGTTGTAGGTTGTCTGAAGTGCAGTGTTACTATGAAAATTCACTAGAATGCAGGAATTGAGAAAAAAAATCTCAACATTTACCCGCCCCCCACCACCCCGCCCCGAGTCGTTCCCCCAAAGTATATTTTCATTTCTGCGGGAATCACTGGTGTTGAGAGAGGTATCCATAGATCTCTCCATGTTGCTCTCAAAGTGCACCAGATTGATGCTTTTAACTTCAATATTTAAAAATAAATCTTCCCGGGGGAGCTTGCCCCCGGACCCCCCTATGTGAGGTCCATGCACCACCAACCTATAAAAATAGCATCTTTACCCCTCTGCGTTACACCTATATGCTGTGAGCCTGATTATCGAGCCTTCATGTAACAGTTGTCGGGGGGACCATTGTGGGTATTTGCTTGGGGAAAAAGTGTTGCAGGTAGAACATTACCACTGTAGGCGCCCGGTACATTAATGGGAACCCTAAATGTTTGAGGCACCCTCTATGAAACGTCAAGGCTACCGCCACAACACCCCCAAAAGGAAATCTCTGCTGCCACAACTGAGCCGGACTATTTGTGGTGGGGGTGCCCGACTTTTTTTTTCTCCAAAGGGGGTGGCCTGACAGAAAAAGTTTGAGAACCAACTGCTCATAGACCGACAATTTTTTGGAGGCTGGAAGTTGGGGGCTAGGGAGCAGTCCGAGGACGGCCAGGCTGCAGCCGCCACCAGCCGATTCACGGCAGATGATTAATCTGTCCGATAGGCACCAGGCGTTCTGTATAATCGCAGCGGGGATTCGCCTTTGAGGCGAGGGGGCGGAGAGGTTTCCTGAGTTGCGGGGTAAATTAGTGAAACCCCCACACGCCCAGGTTGTTGGCCGCCGCGGCCATCTGAGCCCCCGAGGCGGAATATCTTATCTAGATACTCCAGCGCCTCACGATCACGAGGCAGCGGGGGCAGGGGCCTTCTCCCCTCTGCCCAGCCAGCTGCCTGGGGAAGCAGATGGGCCGCCAGGCTCTCATCTAAGGGGGGCACACCGGGACACGCTGAGTCCTGTTGGCCCTCTAACTTGAGCAAACCCCGTCATGCCGGCAACCGCAGCTCTCGCTCTGAGAGGTTGCCGCCACGTCGCCTCCCCACACTGCCATACGTCCGGCAGCCGGGGCGAGACAAAGTCGGCTGGACCGGCTGGGCCGGGCCATAAAACCCTTGACGGAGTCGGCTCACCGGTCTGGGTGGTAGCGGCGGAGGAACCGCCAGGCCCGCACGCTCCGCTGCCATGGCCATCACCAGCGGAAAATCCTGTCGAACAGATCTGCGTGGTGGCCCCTCTCTCACGCTGCCAGAAACGTCTGACAGCGAAAAATCTTCCTCATCTTCTTCCTCCTCGACAAGCGGAACATCACGGCTGGTCGGGAGTGCGAAGACAAAAGGCACCTCTCCGTCCTCCTCGTCCATCTCCACCACCTCCACAATGCCTCGGTCCTCTGGCTCGTCCTCAGGAACGGCATATTTTTGCTGTCGGAAATGGTCCAGGCGATGCGTCGTCGGAGCCGTGGAAGCGCCCGACAGGCACTGCAGGTCGGGGAACGTCCACCACCCTCCATGGCGTGGTCGGCCCCCAAACATTCAACAGCAGAAACCGGTGTGGATCCGCGCCCGCAATCAAGCCAGGGGAGCTGGGGCATGGACGAGTTTCTTGTAACGGTGAGGTCCCATTTTCTTAATCTTCGTTTCGTTTTTTTAAACTCTTCGGTTGTCAGCTCGCTGAAGAGAAAAGGATAATGGGCTGTGGGTGTAGCCGCCTTATATACTGTGGGCCTGCGCGCGCATTCAGGTAGGCTCGCCCCGATTTGGCCGGCTACATTTACGTAAAACTCAGTAGGTGAAAGCACGCACAGCATGATAGAGAGTAGTACCCATAAAGTCCAGTAGAGGGCGGAGCCTGTGTGAAATATAACAGGAACCACCTTTTTTTCTTAAGTTTCACTTTTGATTTAGTTTCTTAGCAGGGATTTGAGACATAAAGGACTGTTTCTGTAGCAGTGTGTGTTTCATGTTGTTTGAATAAGTCTTTAGTTATCTACTTATTGTGGTTCATTTCAGAATTGACAAAAATATAAAATGCAATAAATCGCTCAATCATCATATGCCGGCATCTCGTCCTTCCCTCCTTCTCCCTTTATGAGTAATACAATGACCTAGATTTGACCTCACTTTCTCCTCTTCTTTCGCTTCATCTGTTTATTGGCAATAATTAGCCGTCCTGCAGTGCCTCTTCCACTTTTCATCGTCAGTGCAGCAAGGCACATGAAGTAAAATATGGAGGGATAACGAGTGCTCCGCTTTCTTCACTGAAATAAAAGGAAGGAAACTGAGCCATGCAATAAAGATGTTTCAATTTGCAAGTGCAGTTGACAGACTGGGCATATTTCAAATTAGCTACTTATTCATTCATTTGAAGACATGAATTGTCACTCCCCCATAATATCCATAAATGAGTTCTTACTTTGATGAGGATCTTGCCCTGCAGGCTCTGAGGACTGGGTAATGTTTTTGAGTCCCTGCTCAGGGCATCTCTCACGTCCAGTTTGTCTCCAAAGATTTCTCGCAGGTACTGAGCAATCTTCTTCTGCTGCTGGATGCTACAGTGGTTCTCTATGGACAGAATTACTGGGTACCTGAAACAATTATCAAAATACATATTCAGATTTCCATGAATTAAATTAAAACCTGTCAACATTTAAAAAAATGTGTCTTAAATTCAGCCGTAGTGTAAACATGAAAAATAAAGGAGGTAGCAGGTTAATGATCTGTGTGCTAGTGTGTGTCTGGTGTGTGTTTGTGTGTGAGTACATGCGTGTGTGTTTTTAAAAAGATGACATGACTTGTGGCCACACGGCAGAGCAGCTCAAATGCCAGCTTTGTCAGACTGACAGCTCTCCCTCAGGGAACGCAGCCCTGCTCTCACCTCCAATCCACATATCACACACACACACACACACACACACGCACGCGCACACACACACACACACACACACACACACAAGTACTCTGTACTCTGCCAGAGACACAAAGAGATAACAGAGGGACGGACATCCAGGAGCTTCTCTCAGATGAATGTGTGTGTGTGCTGTGTGTGTGTGTGTGTGTGTGTGTGTGTGTGTGTGTGTGTGTGTGTGTGTGTGTGTGTGTGTGTGTGTGTGTGTGTTGTGTGTGTGTGTCGTGTGTGTGTGTGTGTGTGTGTGTGTGGGTGTGTGTGTTGTGTGTGTGTGTGTGTGTGGTGTGGTGCGTGCGTGCGTGTGTGCGTGCGTGCGTGCGTGTGTGTTATTGAGCAGAGACTCACTCCATTTCAATACAGGCCAGCAGCCATTAATCATATTAACAGGTGGCACTGATGATAAAACATCAGCTGAATGTAAAAGCCAGCAGAGTGGGGATCGAGATGTGAGGCACATCATATTTAATTTATTAACACGTTCTGCCTGTCAGAATTATTATTACAGATTACTATTGATTATTACTTAAGAGTTTACAGGTATTTCCTAATAAGCAAGTTTTAATATTTTCTTTTGGGAACCCTAATTTAACAATTGTTTAATTTAATGTTGTTACGGTGTCTTTATTTTGCTTCCTATTACTGATTGATCTGTGACTGATTGCATTGAAATTAAAGCTTTTAAAGCATTTGGGTAAACAACCATATTGTGTATCATGCAGAGAATGATGAGAAAATGTAATATTGTATAACATTATACAAAAAAAACAGCCTTAATTATTTTTGGTCAAACTTCCCACAAGCTAATGCCAAATGTATTTTTATACTTTAGTTTATTTACATAAATCTAATCAAGTCCACAATTTTTGAAGTAAAAAAATGGTTACATAACACAGGTGATGTACTTATAAGTAGCTGCAATAGATGCCTAAGCGAGCCAATGTGGCAGCAAGAAGCTGCATCATACACCACTTTGTTTTGGTAATGTTGGAGCCAGCAGAGAGAAACAGTGGCTCCTCGGGGAGCGAGAGGAAACACTGCTGAGCAGATGGTTCAGTAATAGGTGCTAATTGCAGCCAGGAAACTCAGTGTTCTCTGAAACATGGCTGGAACATTTTTGCTATTTTTTTGGTAAACCTTTGGGGGAAACCTTCAATCAAAAGTAAATATATAATTTTATAACAGGAACATTTTTAGTTTAAGACTAGTCTCATGAGAAACAATTTAGTTTGTCAGCTTTTCTTATGAGCCAGCTGATGTTATTATGTCTCACTCTGGACCATAAAGCAACACACTAAAACAAAACAAAACAACATACAATCAATAATACATGTCAGAGAAATACTGTATTGTGCCGTTGGTCCAGAAGAAAATAGCATTATTTGCTCTTCTGAATGTCAACCAGAAATGATGCTTCAGCAGATTTATATGAGTGAGTAAACTGAAGGAGAAATCAGTAAAATGGCATTTCGATTTGGCATTCTCAGACAGTTTCTCCCTTTACAATACCTATGGGAAAATGGAAGTGTCTGGTTCCCATTAAACATTTACACAAACACACACCAACACACACAGTAGTGTCTAATAGTGTATTTCTGGATATCATAAATTGTACCATTATTGTCCTTGTCCATTCATGCCAATGGAGTGGTGCAGGGATGTGAACTTTTTGTATACTAATAGGGAACTTAGCATTGCACTGGTTCCCTATGCAAATAACATTTGGATTTTTCAATTGCATTTTGCAGAGAATATGCTCTGCAGCAAAATAAATTGAGGATAGATAAATTAGACGATACTTAGATCAATGCTCTGGAAGAGAAGATAGTTCATGTTAACGGCAGTAAACAAACAACATTATAACACACACACACACACACACTGTGTTGTTGACTCACTGGTTATTAATGAAGGCATATTTATTGATGGTCGCTATGACAGACTTGAACGGTATCTTGGAGGTCAGAGTGTATCCGTGTTGGACCATCGGCTCTCCATCAGGTCCGTCCCAACAGTCCACTGCAGGGGAAAACAGGAGACATGATGCATGAATAAAACAGTGTGGTGTGTTATAGTCTCCGTTTTCTGTCTCTTTTCTCTGTTCAGCTTTGAATATAAAGAAGACAGTCAATTTGATTTGTACTTGATCTCTCAGCTTTTATATATTCTACTAACGAACACTGTGAATCAAAGACATGTTCAAGCAATAGCACAGTGATCATCAACTGGCAGTGCGCAGGCCACATCTGGCCCGCCAGACATACTGTGGCGTAAACAAATAAAATATAAATAAATAAAGTGAGAAAGTTGCATGCTTTGTGCCTCAGATTGTACTCTTTTGCAACAGCGGCCGCGGTTTTCCACGTCAACTTTACGCTTGAGGCTCTTTGACAGTGACATTTTTGCGTGTCTGGCAAACAATTTTCTTATATCCTGCAACCGTTTCCCACCAATCAGGACACGGTATTAATAAAAAGTTGATTCCTTTCCCTGCCAATCAGGACTGCTTTCAGTTTTATTAACCCGGATACAGGCTTGTAAAAAAAGATTATTTTTTCAATAAAGTGAACATATTAATCAAATATATATATATAAATATATATATATATATAATTTATTATGATTTATATATAAATATATATAAAAATCTCTGGCCCCCAAAAGTGTCTCTTGGATTAATTTTGGCCCTTGGACAAATGTAGTTGGTGACCTCTGCAATAGCATGTGCAAGATTGTGCTTCTGTGTTTTTTTTCAGAGATACTGCGACTTTAAGCTGGTTTCAAATTGTATTACCAAACATTAATACAGTAAAATAGGTGTTAAGTTTCAATTTAAAAACAGTATAAAGTGTCCCAAATTGCTAAGCAGTACACATTCCTAACAGTGATGGTGTTATACCACTTTTAACAGAAATGTATCATTTTATATAGGGTGTAATCCTAGTTATAAATCAGCTTGTCAAATAAAAAATGTAGTTTTCCACAGCAGACATTTTGACAGGGTATAGCAGGAAAAGCAGCTAATAACTTGAACAATGATAGCTCTGCTCTATTTAAGTGTCCCAGTAAGCCATGACAGTGTGACAGTGATGCACGATCACAGATACCACTATATAGAATTCAGCCGTGCTAAATGTTTTTATTTGCACCTGTGTTTTTCCCACTGCAACATGTCAACATGTCTGCTGTGGAAAGGCTTATGCGCAGTCAGATTAGCCACGCATGGCATCCATATTGTCGTGCAGATGTTCGCTCACCTTCTACGCAGCGGCAGCCGGACTGCAGCACCCAGGCATACATGTCGGTCTTGGAGTGGGAGAGAAGCTGGTCTCCAGTCAGGTATGTGTTATGAGAGGAGGCGATGAAATAGTTACAAAGAGGCTGGTCCATGTCTTGGTTCACCTCGTGGTGCAAAGGGTTGAAAATGTCACACGTTGGACTGCGCATGAAACTTGTAAAACCTAAAGGAAAATACAAATGTATTGTTAAACATATATGTGGAATCACATCAGGGATTCTAAAGCATTTAGCTTAGTTCAATCATGGTTTATTGCTTTGGACATTTAATCAAGTGAACTACATAGACTCACCATCATCTGTTTATGGCAGTGCTGTTTGTTGTCTGTTAGAATTTAGTACAGACTGGTCAACATAATAATTGTATCTTTTAGCCTTGTTAGCATACAGATGATACATTTAAGTTGAATTACACAGAGAGCCAGTAGAATTGCTGAGGACTCTGCCTTGCAGATGCAGAGGTGAAGCAACGTGTTTAAAACATTGTTTGTCGTGCTGTTATTAGATTTACATTTAGATACAATATCCTGAAATTAAAGTGAACACCGTAACACAAAATATTTTGTATTTCAAACTACCAGCCCTCAGATCAATGTATGCACCTTCTAACGGCTTCTAACAGGGGCACCTACAATATCTCTCTTCATTTGCATGATGATCTCTCTGGGAAAATACCAAGGATGACAGACAAGCACAGTGTAACCACAGCACACTGGTTTCGAACCAGAGTGGTGAGGTTTGGAACCTCTCGATGGCAGATATTCTTCAAACAGCCAACTTGTTTTAGGTGGTACGGAGTGGAGGGGAGTGGGAAGAAAGAAAGCATCCTTTTATCCAGAGAGGAGGGATAAAAATGAGACAAGAATACCAAGAGCATGGAAATCAGAAAATAGGCCAGAGAGCAGAAAACGAAAAGAAGAAGACTGTGGAAAAGCACATTGCCAAGAGGAAACTGAAAATGTGACGCAAAAAGGCCCATGTGAAAGATATTGATCAGACTGGTCACGCAATATTATCACCATGATGGTTCAAATACTGTAAGTAACAGCTCATCACACTGTAAAAATTCCTCTGCTTAGACATTACTGTCACATCTGTCCACAATGCAAGTAAAAAACACATTTCTGGCCTGCAGACATATTGGTCTGATCAGTCAGACACACACAGTGTTAGCCTTCATGCCCCCAACAACAAGATTAGTCTCACCCTTGCTGCTCCCCTCTCATCTCCTCTCCATATTCCCTCCCCTCATGTCTGTCACACTGTCATTTTTTTCTTCCACCGCCCTCATTCTGACTTCCCAATTTCTCACAAAGGCCACCCTGCTCAATCCTCCTTCATAAACTCACCCTTTAGTTGCATGTGGTATTACTTAAAACAGCTCTTAGAGATGAACAACTTTCTTTTATCTTTTTCAGAATTGATCTTTCTAGGGATTCAGGATTTTTTTGGGGATGAAAGTCACAGTAGTTAAAAAGGGGGTTGATAGAAATGCTAATTTCTGTTAAATCTGCATTTAAAAAAAACTATGGTGACAGATGGGGGGTAAAACATTTGGAGAAAAATACCTTCAATCCCTATGACGCCTCTTTGTTTGTTCTCATCAGACCTCTCAAACTTGTCAATGATTTCTGCAACATACTCTGGAGTCACATTGGCCATCTGTAGAGAAAAAACATAAAACACATTTTTCAGACACCTTGAAATGTAGTTAATAACAATGATTTAATTCCAGAGTAAAGTAAGACTCAGATATGTTCCCATCTTTACAACACATTTATGTTGCTGTTAAATACATTTCCATCCATGTCAAACCAGCAGCACAATCTGAAAACAGTATAAATGCAGAGTATCTCAGGCTCGAGGCGTCAAATACAGCATGATGAAAATGACACCATTTCAGTGTAGGAAAGACAAGAGTGAGTCAGAAGCACAAAGAAAATAACTGGAGGAAAAAGAGAGCAGGAAAAAGTGTAAAGAACAAAAAAAGTGCTCTCGTGAGACAAACCAATTTTAGCGTGATAGATTGACTCAGTGAAGCGGATTCCTCTGGGCAGACAGCTGAGACCGAGGGCGTTAAATGTTAAACTCAGGGAGGGAAAACAGGAACTGAATCAATCTCTTTTGTGTGGCTCGATATGAGATTGATACAGCTGATTGGAGAGGAAGTAATTTGGACCCCTCCGAATAAAAATGTATGTCGCCGGCTGAGCATTTTAGTGACCTCTCACCTTCTGCTCGTTACGCAGTAAGTTGGCTAGCTCCTCTGTTGTCAGGTGATCCTTCCTGTCACTGTACGCCATCATCAGCAGGAACAGGTCCCGTCGCAGAGACATCATCTTGTAGAAGACAGAGAACTCTTCATAGGTCAGCGTGCCCTGCTGATCGTCAGTGTCTGCTTCCTGTGGAGATGAGGAAGGGACATGTCATTGGTGACACCTCTCAGGCTATTATTTTTAGATGGTAAGTAAAACTCTCCAGAAACCTTTGTGACTTTAACAGTTCTAAATAGAAACAACAAACAGAAACTTTTGACATTGCTTGTTGAGCAATTTGTTTATTTAGAATAGAACTCAAATTGTACTTGTTTTGGGTGGCTATTACACATTTCTATATTTGAGAATATTAAAAACCTGTCAATGTTTATATTGTTATTCTTATTATCCATGTATGAACTCTATCTATCCCATACTTTCACTCTTATTGCTGCTGCAGCTCTCGACACCTGAATTCAGAAAAGGTTTATCTTATCTCAAAAAATTATCTGGGGCATCGAAAATCTAACTCAAAACAACATACATTTGTGCGTTTGCATGTCCTGTGTATTGCTCCTGACCCAGGATACCGCAGTGTTGTCCAATTACAGAACTAACTTAACTGCCCTATGATTGCATGTGCCATCCAGTCATGTTACAGTTAACATCCATGTCTTTCTAAAATGTCATCAGTGAATTATTTGATCCTGTTAGACATCTTTAAGATTTTTCTTTTTTTTGACCTTGACCTTTGAGATCCAGTTAATTCTTGAGTCTAGGTTGACGTCTGTGTCATAGGTATTGAGTTCTCTAAAGGGTCCTGAGATATTACGTCCATGAGAATGGTAAAAATACCAAAACATAATAAATTCATATAAGAGATTGAAACACCTAAAAGAGAGTTGGACAAATCATTTTAGATTTTTGGCTTAATGTGGAAGACATTGAGTTGCTGCTCTGCGGTGGCCAGATGGATGCGTAATTTGCTACAAATTAGTTAGTTATTAGTAGTATTTTTTAAATGAAGCTTAATGTCAGATTGAGTGGATGTGAGTGAAATGTACTGGCAATTTATTCTGATTATCAGGTTATAATATATGGCCAAAGACCAATAATGACTGTCAGTGATAAGGAAGTATCAGCCTTCCCAATACATAATTTGAAGCACAAAATGTGTCTAGACCTGTCAGCTGTGAGGGTTACTGAGTAACTCCTATGCACATGTGCAGCTGCATGCTGTCTCAGTTTATTCTTTCTCCATCTCTTGTTAATTTACATTTTTACAATGATATCAACACTAATTCACATCGGCAAGTGCAGTGTTCCAGTCTTTATGGCACAAACACATTACCGATCAAGATTTTTATTTTTATTTTCCTAATCCAAATCACATGTAGCCTGAGGATACACGCAGCACAGCTCGCTGCTCATTCTCTTCCGCCATCCCGCTCTGCCTGTTCGATGGTATCCAGCGTCTCACATTACCTGATCTCACGGGAGCCCATCGACTACACACCAAATCTAATAATACCAGCTAATGCCTCCATCACACACCCATAATGAGCTCGCTGTGTGCATCGGGGACTCGATCACAGAAAGAATCTTAACACAACCAGCAGGACAAATCACTGTGATAGACTTCATCAGAAATGTCTGGACAGAAACCAAACTGATAACAGGTAAACGCTGTTATCTGCCAATTCTTAAATGGAAAGACATTAATAAATAACATTTCCTATATGATCTAAACCCAAAGAGTGGCTGCTTTATAGAGAACAATTAAGGTTTAGTCCACTTTGAAGGGATGACAACATGTTGAAATCCACTGTCTTAACTCTTAAATTCCAGGTGATGGGGAAGAGGCTTTCGAGGGAAATTTAGTTTGGATAGTTTGATTCAATGTTATTAAAATAAATACTGCAAGGCAACTTCTATTATTGGTTTTAAAATATATATTTCTTAGTCGACACAAAACCTTTGTCTAATATTTAGAAAAACAAGTCCAGTTTGGATCTTTATTAAAATATTTTCATCTTTCATGATATATAAATCAAGCCGTTAGGGGGACACAGAGCAAACAGTAGTTCTCATTCATAACACTCCGTTCGATGTCTCACTATGGGATGCGCCTCATCGCGGAGCAAACAGAAGCATCAATCTCATTACGCCAATCCTGATTGGCTGGTGATCTTGACGTCAGCGTCAGGGAATTCACCCCCTATAAGTAGCTTGCGCCACGACGCATGCGTCATTCAAACACCTCTTCTCGCTTCAGAGCACATCTCTATAGTAGCCGGACAAGCTTAACGGTCCACAGACTGAACCCAAATATAACCATTTCGGTCGACGGGCGCTCGGCGGCTACTCCTTCTGCTTCGCAAGAAGACGGTAATACTAACGCCAGTTAGTATTAAAATCGACCTCGCCGTTTCTTTCCCCGGAAAGTAAGGTAAGGTTTTGATTTTTCTCAAGCTAGCTACGCACCTGTTGCTAGCTAGCTTCCCCTTACTACCGACACCACGGTAGCGAGGACGCTTTTCTTTTTCTCTCTCACGGAGGAGAAAAGGATTAGAAGTATATTGACATACCAGTCAATATTCTTTGAGAACAAAGGACCCACATCGTCCCTTTTTCTCCGGATTAAGGACGGGTTGGTAACACTTTTTCTCTCAACGACGTACCTGTTACGAGCGGGTCCTCTCCACGCCACGAGGCGAACAAGATGGACGCCTCTCCCCCTCACACCAGAGGAGTCAGGGACTCGGAGGCTCGGTCATGCGGCTGCGGGTTGAAGATAGCAGGCACAGACTCACACCAGGTCTGCTCGTCCTGCCTCAGGCTGGAACACGCCCAGGAGGCTATCGACAACCCCGGCTCGTGCGGGCATTGCCCGAAAGAGCCTCCACCGACGGCTAGCACACCAAGCTAGCTTGTTGGAACAGGACTCCCTCATGTCCACTGATTCGCCGTTTGGCAATCAAGACACGGGGGCGTCCGCCGCAGAGACTGAGCCCCTCACTGTGTCAGTCTGGGGCTCACTAACAGCGGCAGCTGCGGAACTGGGATCCCACGCCGTGTCAGGCCGGGACCCGGTGGCGGCAAGAGACGCGGGAACGGAGCCCCACGCCTCAACAGGCGGGAGCTCCCGGCGAGACCTCACAATGGTCTCGCCCGCAGAGGCTCGGCCTGCTCCGCATACCGCCGATGGAACTGCTGGTGGCAGCCCACCTCCTACCGAGGATGGGCCCGTCACCAAGCAGGAACCCCACGCTGCCAGCGAAGCTGGACCGTTTCCAGTCGACCATGACTGAACGGTCCTACAGAGCCGCAGCATTGTCCGCCAGGGCTCTGAACGTTTCCTCACTGCTAACCGCATACCAAGCGGAGCTCTGTGAGGATATGTTGAGTAATCCTGGACCGGCCGTTCTGGATGAGTTGGCCTTGTCACAGACATTTGTCTCCGTGTCCAACGCTGCGCCGTCCAGGCCACGGGCAAAACAATGGGGATCATGGTGGTGCAGGAAAGAGCTAGATGGCTCAACCTCACCAACCTCCCAGACCGGGAAAAGGAGGATGTGCTTGACATGCCCATCGTTGCCTCCATGCAGAGGAGATGCGAGTCGAAAAAGAAGGAGGACGAGGCCCTCCACCTCTGCCTCCCTCGAAGGGCCCAGCCGCTGCCTTCGCAGCGGCAGCCCTTCGTCCAAGCTGCTCCGAACCCTGCTCGGTTCAAAATACCGAAAACGCAGAGGTCGCAGAGTCCGTCCCCGCCCAGGCAGGGGACGAGGGCGAGCTGGCCTAGAAAATCTCCGGTTCCGGCTGCAGCCCAGGCGCAGCCAACCCAGAATTTCGGCCAGCAGTCGAGGAAGAAGAAGCGAGCGGCGTGACAGCCCCTCCTTCTCCCCTCTGTGACAGAGCTGGAAGTCTACGGTTCCCCAGCTCTAAATGTGTTCCCGCCGCCTCGAGAGATGCCTCAACACCATCCTCAAGTCCGCAGAAACACATGTCACACACTTATTGATTTTTCTGTCATAAACATTTTCGCTGACGCATCCAGGCTTCGAGCCAAGGGCGCAGCTCGAAAAAATGAAAAGAAAAACAATAAAAACAATAAACAGTCCGTCAACTGTTCCCCTTCTGAGAGCAGCTACGGCCTCTCTCAAAGGGCGGACAATTGACGGGTCTGTGAAGGCACCACCGTCACGCGCATGCGCAGTGCCGGCTGGACCTGTAAAGGCACCACCGTCACGTGCATGCGCAGTGCCGGCTGGACCTGTAAAGGCACCACCGTCACGCGCATGCGCAGTGCCGGCTGGGGTCGTGAAGGCACCACCGTCACGCACATGCGCAGTGCCGGCTGGAGCTGTAAAGGCACCACCGTCACGCGCATGCGCAGTGCCGGCTGGGGTCGTGAAGGCACCACCGTCACGCACATGCGCAGTGCCGACTGGAGCTGTAAAGGCACCACCGTCACATGCATGCGCAGTGCCGGCTGGGGTTGTGAAGGCACCACCGTCACGCGCATGCGCAGTGCCGGCTGGAACCGTAAGGGCACCACCGCCACGCGCATGCGCTGTGTCGGTGGGGATTGTCGAAATGGGGCACCACAGTGCTCAGACACTGGAGGGCCCCATAACACAACAAATAGCGACTCAGAGGGGAAGAGACGTGACATCTCAGCTGGCTCTAAGGAGCATACAGTGGGAGATGCTCACGACATCTGCTTGGGTTTCTCAAGACAGTTACACAGAGCTACAGACTCCAAGTCACCGTCACCCCCCCTCGCTTCTCGGGCATTCTGCATTCGCAGGCCCGAGGAGAGTCAGCCCATATTCTGGAGAGAGACATTCTCTCACTCCTAGAAAAGAGGGCTATATCTATTGTACCCGCAGAGCAGAGTCAGGGCGGCTTCTATTCCAAGTACTTCCTCGTTCCCAAACGGGGAGGGAACGGAATTCGGCCAATACTTGATTTGAGGGCTCTGAACAAATATCTAAAAGATATAAGTTCAGAATGCTCACTCACACATCTCTGCTGCGGCTCGTGCGACAAGAACGTGTGGTTTACATCAGTCGACCTGAAAGATGCGTACATCCCAGTATATTACCCACACAGGAAATATCTGAGATTCGCATTTCAGGGGATCTGTTATGAATACAGAGTACTCCCCTTCGGTCTGTCTCTCAGTCCAAGGGTGTTTGTACGATGTACGGAAGCCGCGATAGCCCCGTTAAGACAACAGGGTATTCGCCTGGCGACCTACCTGGACGACTGGCTGCTTCTCGCACAGTCGGAGCAGGAGGCTGTTACGCAGACAAATGTCCTCGTAAAGCACCTGCTCAACCTGGGTTTCATAATAAACACAGAGAAGAGCATGTTGTGCCCCGCGCAGACTATACTCTTCCTGGGTTTACACCTGAACTCGGTGCCCTTTTCAGCTCGCTTGTCAGCGGAAAGAGTGAAAGCTTCAGAGCTTGTCTCGCTCTTTTCCAGCTGTGCAAACATGTTCTCTTCAGATCATGCCTGTGATTGCTGGGGCTCATGGCGTCAGCCATCCTGGTCGTACGACTGGGACGCTTACACATGAGGGAGTTTCAGCGCTGGGTGGCCGCCCTAAAACTAAACCCCGCGCCATGGCGCGCGGAGAGTTATGGTTACTGTGAAATGCGTAATGGCACTGCGCCACTGGCTGCACCCGACTTTTCTAGTACGAGGTGTGCCTATGGGTGCTGTCCTTTCACGGAAAGTGGTCACCACGGACGCATGTCTGACAGGTTGGGGAGGTATTTATGAAGGTCGCCCGGTGAGGGGTCTCTGGAGCAGAGACCTCCAGCGGGCGCACATAAATTACCTGGAGCTTTTAGCGGTGTTTCTCACCCTAAAACGCTTTCTGCCTTTCCTCAGGGGACATCACGTCCTCGTGAGGACAGACAATACGACCACAATATCGTATATTAACCCGCCAAGGGGGTTTGCGTTCTCTCCAGTTACACACACTGTCGCGCAAACTGATCTTATGGAGCGGTAGAAGTCTCCTCTCTCTGAGAGCGACGCACGTACCGGGAGTGATGAACCTCGGGGCAGATCTACTGTCCAGAGGTATACCACTTTATGCAGACTGGACTCTATATCCAAGGATTGTGAGCCAGCTGTGGGTGCGTTATGGCAGAGCCGCGGTGGATCTGTTCGCATCGAAAGACAACGCTCAGTGTCAGCTGTTCTTTTCGATGCGCGATCTAAATGCACCGTTAGGCGTGGATGCACTCGCGCACGATTGGCCCCCGGGCCTTCTGTACGCGTTCCCACCCCTGGCTCTGATACCCCCAACTCTGGCCAGAGTGAGAGAGCAACGCCACACACTTATCCTGATAGCTCCGCACTGGCCAGCTATGTACTGGCCAGCGGAGATATATCAGCTGCTGTGCGGGCAGCCATGGCAGCTCCCACTACGCAGGGACATACTGTCCCAAGCGGGGGGGGGCAATCTTTCACCCACACCCAGAGCGCTTGGCTCTATGGGCCTGGCCCGTGAGTGGTACAATCTGAATACAGTGTGACATGAAGCTGACCCTGGCAGCTGCCAAGCGAGCCAGTGGCACTCATGCGCTATCTGTACAGTCTTCATGCACTCAGTTCGCCCCAGGGCAAACAGAGTGTTGTGGAAGCCCAACCCTACCTTTATCTTAAGGCGGTTGGTTCAGGTACCACATTTGACATTGAGGCATCCTCCCCGCCACTGTATTCCTCCGGGGAACAGCGGCCGGATTTGCCGTGTCCAGCCCGTGCTTTACGCACGTACAGGGACAGATCAAGGGTGCTTCGTCATAATGACCAACCCCTTGTGTCCTGGGCTAACCCTTATAAGGGCAAGCCTGTTACTAAGCAACGGCTCTCCCACTGGTTTGTGGAAGCAATTGCTTTGGGGCTCATACAAGTCAGAGTTCGCAGGCACCCTCGGGTCCGCGAGCTCTTTCGACTCAGGGTCTGGCTGCATCCTGGGCTCTGTCCAGGATGTCTCCCATCCAAGACATTGGTGTAGCGGCGAGCTGGTCCTCGCCGCTCACTTTTGTCTGCCTCTTAACAGGCTGGACATTCTGCTCCCAGTGTGACTCAAGCAGTGCTGGGCACCTGGTTGAGTCAGAGCTCTACCTGTTAAGTTCTGGTTGGTTTGGTGATTTTCGAGATAAGCTCGTCTGACAATACGGGAGCTACAATTTCCCATAGTGAGACATCGAACGGAGTGTTATGAATGAGAACTATAGGTTACTTACGTAACCCCAGTTCTCAGAGTAACAGGAAGTGAGATGTCTCACCAGACGGCCCTCCTTGCTATGGTGAAGCGAGAAGAGGTGCTTATTTTGAATGACGCATGCGTTGTGGCGCAAGCTACTTATAGGGGGTGAATTCCCTGACGCTGACGTCAAGATCACCAGCCAATCAGGATTGGCGTAATGAGATTGATGCTTCCGTTTGCTCCGCGATGAGGCGCATCCCATAGTGAGACATCTCACTTCATGTTACTCTGAGAACTGGGGTTACGTAAGTAACCTATAGTTTTCGGGCCTAACCCTTGCACTCCTACAAATGTACATATACATATCGACACAATATAAGCTTGAAGTAATAAAGTGTTGGGATTTTGACACAGGATCAGTTTTAGAATAATCCAAATCCAAATGAACTGCAGTGTGCTTGAGGATTTTTGGGGGGGTGGTGTTGACTATATGTATTTGATCTGTTTAGACCCTCAGCATCTGCCTTGAGTTTGCATTTAAATTACTCATTTCCATTACTCCCTCTCAAAATTAACCATCTCACCCAGGTCAAAATTAAAGATCATATTAAATACTACCTAATCTCATATTTAAATATCGAAATATGATGATTGTTAAAAGTCAATCATGCCTGCCAGAGACAGGGGAAACTAGTGTGTTTGTGGTCAAAAGATAAAAGAAAGTGAAAAAGTGTTCTGCACACTATCACCCACATTAGAGAAGCCAGTGATTTCTGACATACTCAATGTGACTTTTCCTCTTAAAGTGTCTCTCTCTCGCACATGAGAATATTAAATATGTCTTGCATATTTATATAAATAACTCAAATGCCCTTCACAATAAAAAATGCAACAGTAATGTGAAGTCAGTGATCTTAAATATTAATTCACCATGAATGCACAGTATTAAAATAAAAGCACAACTCGGTTTATATAATCAGAGGTCTTGATGTATATGCTAAATGTTTAGGTACTGAATTTCAAATATATGTTAAAAAAGGAATGTCATTCTGGATCTGTATGGTTTCTCTTCTGTTGAGATGTGTCCTTTCAATTAGCAAGGCACGCTATTACCTGTATTTAGATTTGTAAGGATTATTACTGATAACAAATTGGCCATTACAATTTAGTGCTAAATAAATTAAAATGGCTTCATTTTCTGACCTGGAACATTTGTTTGACCTTTCTCCGTGGCAGATTGACATTCAGCTTGTGGAGAAGTTGGTATATTTCTTCAATGTTCAGGAAACCGTCTCCATTCTTATCGGCCTCTTCAAACGTCTGTTTTAGCCACGTAACAAGCACACATTCAGGAAAATGAGGAATGTACATGAATCTGTCTGCATAATATAAAGTAATTAAATTGATGAAAACATGAATATGTTTTTGAGACAGAAACGCCAAAAACACTGGGCTAATGGTGGATAGAACCAAATAACATAAACACAAAAAGGATTATCCTTCGTTAAAGGATATTGGTCGTGTGTGCGCTGTCGTTTGGCCAGCGAGTCTTCATCACTGATCCCAGCCATCAGGTAACGGAGGCCAGTGATCCAGGTCCTGGCTTCTTCTGCATTTGTGGTCACCAGATCGAGGGACTCCATGTGGTTTCCATGATACACGGTGAAACAGCAGGTCGGGTCGAGGCTGCTGTCGGCATGACGATGGAAAATGTCTGATTGACCGCCCTCAGTCACTTTGTACAGTGAGTCAATGGTGACTGAAGAAGTGGAGTGGAAAAGAAAAACACCATATTGATTATCCGTCAACATAACATACTCATTAAAGACTTCTGTATCTACTTATTGAATTATCAATTTAATTATGAAGCTATCATTTTAAAGACTGAAAACTGCAATGAAGTTATTCTATTTACTGACCAAACACTATTCCAATTATATCAATAAGCCACACTATTACACTGTGTGACAGGTCCCTCCATTAAGTAGCTTATTTAGATTCAAACTCACATACACGCTCCAGTTGCTGTAAATACACACTAGTGCACTGAATGTGTATTAATTTGCAGCTGAAAAAAGTAATTTTCCTGTTTGAATAAATGATTTGGTAAAGTTAAACTATATACTGTATGTGTGATTGGTTTTATAAGATGTACTGTTCAATAAGGATTGGGTTGGGGATGAGAACCATAGGGTAAGAAAGTTGGAAATTATTGAGTGGTGTAGGTCTTTTCCTAGGATTTGCTGACTATCTGAAAAACATTGAAACACACAGGCCTTATTCTTTAAACAGCAGGCAGAATAATTTGTAAAAAGTGTCTATGACCAATATTAAGTGGGTTCCTCTCTCACTTTTTCTTTATCGTACGTAAATGAAAAACGCTCATAGAAAGCAGTTCTTAGAGTGTATCACGGTCAAATGGGATTCAAGTATACACCCTATTTTTGATTCTGTGTCTTTAATAGGAAAGAGAAACAGCCTGCAGTAAACTACACCCTGTTCTGCATATGAATACAGATGCTCTGCACATCTGTCTCTTAACCTCGCTTGCGTTCTTCTCAGTTTATTTCTCTGAGTTGTGATCTATAAACAGGATGTTAAACGTGAGTCAACCAATTAAATCAGTTCATTAATTACCCTCATCAATGTGTTTTCCTCACAACAATTAACCGTCATCTTTTGGAAACTTGATTATGTATGATTTATTAATTAAAGATATAAGTATACGGTGATTAAATGATTAAATTAATTGCCTTTCCCTCACAAAATACTTCATCCATTAAAAAATTATCCCTGTCTATTTCAACATAACACTATCATCACGTTTCATTATCTAATTTCAAAAATTCTACAATGACTGAGAGCAACCACACACACACCAACAAGATACACATACTCAAAGGAAAAACGGGGTTATTGGTTTCTCTTAATCATGTCAATGGAGAGGTTCTAAGAGGCTTATCTAACACACACACACACACACACACACACACACACACACACACACACACACACACACACACACACACACACACACACACACACACACACACAGAGAGATATATGCTCCAGTAGGCTCAAAAATAAAAACCAGTAATGTGAATAACTAAAAATAAGTTAAAGCCATTAATGCTTTGAGGGGGCCATGAAATAAATGCCGATAATCCCCTCAGAGGTAGAGCAGTGCGGCTGTTTTAACAGAGATTCTGGGAAAAAGTAGGGTACACATAGGGACATTTTGGAAAGCACTTCATAACATTATACCTGCTACAAAAATAGTATAGTATTAAGCCTTCATTATGTAAAGATTCATTCTTATATCCGTTTGTGGTTATGTTGAGGTCAGGAAAAGATTGTGTTTATTTTTGTTAAAAGAAAAAAGACAATTGTTCTTTAAGCTTTAGTCACTGTGAACATGTTCTGTATTATACCAAGTCCACATCAAGCCTGTAAAGTGTCATTGATGGTTTCAATCAAGATTTTGATATTCATTTTTATAATTTCACCTTCAGTTTCTCTTCCAAATACATCTAACCTGGGGTTTTGTGGCTGAATGCTGGTGGTTCTTGTCCTTATACCGTTTTTTGCAGAGTGGTAGATACTCCAGGGATTTAGAATTTCCTCTCCATAAATAATAATAATAATAATAATAATACACTTTATTTATAAAGCACCATTCAAACATAGTTACAAAGTGCCTTCTCGTAAAAATACGAGCAGGCGAACTAAACCACAGCATATAAACATTAACCCACAGAGTAAAACACATAGAAAATAATAAAAACAAAAATATATAGATTAAGAATAGTTAGGGAACACATTTAAAAAAACAATGCTAAAATCAAAACTGCACATCAAACACTGAGATTTCCTGATACCCAGTCCCTTGTAATGGTCAAGCTCCAAAAGTACTGCAACCTTCATTCCCATGATGCAACACCATAACGTCTCCCACCGAGTTTGTAAGTGTGAGTGTGCCCATGCATACTCACTCTTGGCCTTCTCACTCTTGCGTGAGGGCCTCCAGCGGATGCAGGAGCGATGATCATCCAGGTAGAAGAGTCTCACCAGCCCTTTGGATCCTGCCTTCAGCTTCACCATCTGCGTCCCCGACTGCATCACACCCATGCATCGCTCCACTGCAGGAGAAAGCACAGACAACAGGCTCAGAGAAGCACTATCTTAAGATATAAAGGAAACAGGTGTCTGGCTTTACTTGGATTTTCTCAGGAAGAAGTAAAGCAAAGTATCACAGTGTTGCAGAATTAGTGAAGCAGCCAGCAGCTGATGTGGGTCTGAACTGCAACAGAGATGCTACTGTGTGGACACACAGGGAGGCTTTTCTGTTTCAAACTGACCTGCGGCTGAAAGCAACGGAGAGATGGGAGAAAGAGAGAGATCTCATAGAGAGAGACAAAGCTGATGTGTGTCTCTCTGTTCGAAGTTTCACAGCAGGTCTTTAGACTGTTCAAGATGAAACATCCACATTATGCAGATGCAGGTGATAGCTACGACTGGAGTATATTAAAGTATTCAGTGGCGATGTGAAAATACCGGTTTACCAAAGCAACCAATAACAGCATTTGGTTGGTTTTTGGTTAAATGTATTTAAGTTTGCATTGAAAAAGTACATTTTTATATTTAAGAGAAAAGCTCTGCTTTGTTTTCTGTTGAAAGTTAGGTAGCATGGTGTTAGTTCTACTGAATGCTATATTGACTGTTTTGACTGTGGTATGGTTAACATTTTTGCCACATCAATTTAAAATGCCAACATAACAACATACTGATTTCAAACAGATTCACATTAAGTGCACCTTCTGCTCACACTCCTGCAATACATTGTTTTGCTACAATTTATAGTGTGCATCATATACTCAACACTTTCCTTGTCTAAAGGTTTATTTTTGAACTAGCACAAGACAGAAAGAGAAGATGTTGGCGAAGTGTTCTCAAGAAGAAATAATAGGGACTGAAATGATGGGTAAAGTGAGTTTGTGTTTGATTGCCTGACTGCCTGGCATTGTCCAGCTCAGAGAGGATAAAAGACACAACTTCAAACTTTTTGAGACAGCTGGTGGCATGCGTACAGACGAGGCTGACAGCAAAGAGACAGCGGGATTTCCATCCTCATTAGTAGAGTGTGTGCATGTGTGTGTATGGTGTGTGTGTGTGTGTGTGGTGTGTGGTGTGTGTGTGTGTGTGTGGTGTGTGTGTGTGTGTGTGTGGTGTGTGTGTGTGTGTGTGTGTGTGTGTGTGTGTGTGTGTGTGTGTGTGTGTGTGTGTGTGTGTGTGGCATATGTTTTTTATGCAAGCAATTAGTCTTAATATATGTTTACACGCATAATAAGTACACATACAGTATATCGCTGATATGTTGTCTTAACAGTAAATTAAGTGCTCAAAGACAATATTGTTAGCAAGGATTACTAGAGAGATGATATTTATTTTTTTGCCTGGCAAAGCCCTGGGGTTCCCCAGGAAGAGCTGGAAAATGATTGCTGGAGAGATGGACATCTGTTGTACTCTGCTTTGCTTGTTGCCCCCATGACCCAGCCCAGGATAAGCTGATAAGAATAGATAGATGGATGGATGGATGGATTGAAGGGGAACAAGTTGCTAAGAGTGCATCATCGTTCTTAATGCCATTTCAGTCGGCCAGATGCTGTAATGGACAGATTTTCCTTGCATGAGGAATAATCCTAAAGGCACACACATGCTAAAATAATTTGCTGGTGCTGAATATTAATGGTTGTGCATTTTTTTTCTTTGATCCCAATTATTTTTCTTTGCTGATCGATCCAACCAGAGATGGTCTCCTTATGTAAAGAGAGATAAAATGCAAACAAACACACATATAATTAACAATTTAGATTATTAACCACTTTAATAAATTCCAGATTCTGAACTGATCGAATACAAAATACCAGGCAACACCACTGCTCACAACTAAGGAAGATGATGGATACATAGTTGTTGATAACTTAATAATGCAATAGCACAACACTTTGAACTTTAATCCCTCATTGTGAAGAAGCAGCAAAGATGGTGTCTGAAAATATTTGACGACTAGAAGTCCTTGTCACCATCATTAAATGGTACCGAATCTTAGTCCTAAACCCAATGACTAGATTATAGTTTAGAAAATCCTTACAAATCCTGGTTAAAATGATGGGTTGGTGACTAAATAAAAAAATGCCTGCATTGCCAGATGTATACAATTCAATCCATGTTAGAAAACAACCATAGAAAACCTGACGAGGGAAACTGACTCGAATTCTTCAGGGTTACAACTACAAACTGTAACAGGCCAGAAGCCTCAGGAAATAATTATGAGAAATAACAAAATGTTCGAAAGTTGTAGGAGAGAAGCACATACACATTCACACAATTATTATAATGCATTATACGAGACGGCATGGGTGATTATCTTCAAAGACAAGCAAAGTCAAACCTCTAATGGATCCAAAACACATATTTAAGCATACTCAACCAAACACATGCTGAGCAGAGTGCTTGTCAACAGGCGCTCTGTCCTGAGGACGGGCTTAGAAATGACAGAAATCTTGCTCTCAATATTCAATGACTTCTTTCAGCGGTAGATGCTTTATTCAGGGACAGAATTAAGCCCACACAAGCATGAACTCATGAGCCTGAGGCCTGTGTGTGATCTCCCTAGGTACATGATGATTACACAACCGGCCTTGTTGAAAACAGATTATTTGGGGAGATAAACAAGCAGCCATGTGAATAAAACAACAAATAAGCTAGCAATAGTAAGGTGGTATGGTCTATCAGGTAAGATTAGTAAGGTCTATTTAGGCAAGATTTAGGAATTTGTAAAGCCACTACTGTAAAACAGAGAAACAAAAATTCTGAACTATCCCATTGGAATATGTGTCCGCTTAAGTACCTTTTTGCCACTAGGAGGCAGCCTTACAAGGAATAAACACAACATTGATATATAATCAATATCTAACATGAAATTCTGTCTGTTTACACATCCAGCAGACATAAAGCAATATTAGTATGTCTTTGGAGTCATGTCACTGTCAACCTCATAAAAAAAGTCCAATATTTAAAAGTAGTAAAGCTAGCCAAAGGGGAGAATGATACATGAGTGTGAAATGTGTGGCTAATGGCAGACTTATATTCACTAATTCACAGTCTAATTTAGGTGAGTCTCACAATGTTTGCTAAAAACTGCAGAGGGACTCCCATTGTGTTGACCCTCTATAGCTCCTAGTGATAGGGTCCTGTTAAACTTCTAATTATGATTTACAATAAACACAGATGTTTTATCTGGTTCTTTTGGATGACAGTGGGTAAAAAAAAGAAAATAGTATATATATATAAATTATCCACATCATAAAAAAAGTTAAGCTAAAGTCCCACATATAGTATTAGAGAGTCTATTTGCTGTATTTAAATTCACTTTTGTTATTAAGATGTCTGACAGTTTGATGATGTATCCCATTGTAGTAATCAATACAAACTCTCATGGGTTCATAATGTATGAGAAAGCAACGAGCAGAGCTGTGACAACTCTTCGAAGTTGCAGAAATTAATATGGAAAAGTGAAGACACACACAAACTCGAGGAATATAATTAATCAGAAACAAGAAAATAGACAGTTATGCATTATTTATCTTGTAGAGCCACTTTTGAAATGTACAGATAAATTAACTATGGAATTCAATAGTGAGGTATTGATCTCAACCGCAGTCTCTGCGCCAGTAAACAGGCCTATTCTTCTGGGATTGTATTCTCACACTGTTTCAGGCTACAAAACCTGTGACTCAGACTAGACGAGCTTCCAGCAACACTTTGCCAGTGCTTAGATATGTAACATCATAAATCAGGCCCAAAGTGAAGAAATGCTACTCACCACCACTAGAGAGTACATGGCTATTCTCACACAATTCCCAAAAAGTATAAATATGTAAGGGGTATTTTCCGAGAGGCAGTCAGACGTTTATTTTTGCAAGAAGAAGCTAAAAGGGAATACAGATTTTTTTTTTTCTTCATCCAGCTCAACATGGGGCAGGTCTTCAGAAAGAGAGGACTGACATGTGCAGGTAGTTTGTTTTAGTTGAAACACATTTTACAAAAAGGGATTGATGGTTCTCTTTACATTTTTTTCTTCAGTTGTCTATCAACCCCTGTAAGACCTTGAATTTTCTGCTGGCAATCCCCAGTCACTTTACTCTCCATCAGCAATGATAAGGACCATGAAGAGTCAAACCTCAAACCTAGTTAAGATGACAATTGCTAAGCTTAAGAAGAGGTAACAGGATTAATATCTGTCCAAGAGAGAGAAGCTGCCTCCTAATCAAAGATGAAACTGAAGTAAGTGGTTCTCAAAATAGCAGTGATTGTGAATCAATGGATCAGTGCCCTTCGCATCTCCACTCCAATCTCTGGTCTCGTTTATACTCAAGCATTAATGTTCAAATCAACATGAGTATGAGAATTTAAATTTGCAGTTTAAACAATTTCACTTCTTGTGGGAAATCTAATTGAATGTATTAAACTGAAATGTATGTACAATCTAAATGATTTGCATCTGTAGCTACACTATCTTTGCTTTGCCATGTCTCCATCTCTACTTTTGAGTTTTTTTTGCATTCACTGCTGTGTGTTTGTTTGTTATGCACATGCATGTTTGAGCATTTGCCAGAACTCATCATCTCTGTTGGTGCAGAGCAGAAAGAGCAGATCAAAGCCTTGTCTTGCCACAGAGGCCGAGGCAATTCAAACATATTTTAATGGGGTAGGTGATGAAGACGCCTCTGTGATAACCTGAAGAACAAAGCCCATCCTCTCTTGTAAGATCCATACAGCGATCTATGATGCAAAAGTACAGCATCCACAGCAGTTTTCATTCATCATTTTCACTGTCATTTTAAACTCAATATGATTAGGGTGCTTCCTGGCCATTCGTGCATGCATAATTTCTATCAGTTTGTTATCAGTTAGGCAAAATATTTCAGTTTCGGCTCTGCATGAGATCTCTGTTAAGATTTGATCAGAGGGTGAGAACTCGAATGGACCACAGTCCAAATATTTATCATAAAATATTCATAAATACATACATTCATATTCAGCAGCACCTGCCTGATCCTTCATGCACTATTCATGT